CCCGAGGTAAATATTTTTTTTGGAAAATGGATAGGCTAGGAAGGACGCTCCAAATACCCTCTCGCAGGTGGGCGCGCTGAGGCGTCCCTACGAGTCGGACACACTGTGTAGAGACACGAGTGCGAGTCAACGTCTTGAAAAAGACGCTATGACTTCGACTGCGTCCGTGACGTGCGTCCGTCGGCCGTTTTTTTTTTAAGGCAAGAGAATTTAGGCAAGAGAATTTAAATCTCTTTCGCCAGGGACAGGACCATACGCGAATCTTGGGATAACGGAGAATGAAAGAGGGAGGAAATAACTAAAACGATAAATAATTTAAATTTTACATGTATTTAATAATTTTAAAAACGATTACAAGTTTAGCTAACTACAAGATCCGTGTCATTATTTCTTGTGTTGAAGTTCATTCGGTGAAGATATATTTACATTTAATAAAATAATAAAAAAGGGAAAAGGTGTTACGTACGGGAATTCATATAATATAAATGTTTTAAAAAATTTATGGATGTATTATTTAATTTCCGTGTACAAATTCGATTATATTTGTATGTTTGTCTATATTCTAATTATTCTTATCTTACATGGTTTAGTATATTCAATCTATATTTGATATTTTTATCTTACGTTGTTAATCTATTTAAATTTATATTTTGTTATCTATGTGTAGTTGTTTCGGAGAGGAGGTCGGATTTCTGATGATGAGGTCTAGGGGAGGAGGGGAAGGAGTTCGCAGAACTCGTCCAAGGATTTCTGGTTGCGGAAATCTGGATATATCTGAAAATTAGTGTCATGGCGCTCTGGGAAGAGTGCGCTGAAATCTCGGGGGGACCTAGATTCGGATGGTCTAATCGGGGAATAGGATGGAGGAGATATGCACAAATAATAAGGTCTCCTGCTGGAACAACTTGTGATTTCTTCAGCATGTATAAAAACCTCGGATGTCGTAGGCGAGGGGTAGTTGGCTGATCGACGAGCTCGCTTGTTGCGACGATAACGGAGCCTCTTCGGGCTCGCCTCAGTCTCTGAGCGTCGGAAAGAGAGGATGATGCAGATTTCACTAGAAGAAATGGATTTGGAATATGAAGGAAATGTCATTGGTAAACCTTAAGGCTATCTCTGAATATTTCAGGAAACCGAGAGATCCGACAGAGGAGAGAAATTAAGAAGGGAAAGAGAAAATTGTAAAAGGGGAGAGAAAAAAAGAATAGATTTCCGAATTATTCGGTGGCCATGAACCTGCTGAGTGTTCCACAACGCATAGGGAGTCAGTGAGGTTTCGACGTCCGAAGCAAACAGAGAAGAAGCAGATTTTGCCGAATTATTCGGCGGCCATGAACCTGTTGAGTGCTCCGCAATGTATAGGGAGCCCGAGAGATCCGACGGCCCAAGCAAACAAAGAAAGAGAAAAGAAAAAGAAAAAAGGAGTAGAAGTGTAAGGAGAACGGCAGAGGATAGAAAGGATGTAAGGGAAAAATGAGAAAATATAAGGAGAAGAGACCCAAAAACTATTATTAGAGAATTTTACTATGTGTAATCGAACTTACTGTTACTCTGGAATGTCGGAGACTTGGGACTTGCGAGATGATGAAGATGGAAGCGGTGTCGCCAGGAAATTTGGTCACTTGTACTTGGTGAAATTATTGATTTATTTCGACTGACACTGACTGATTGGATTATTGACAACTGACGGACTGAAACTGTTCTGACCGCGTGAAAAAAGGAAGTAGCAGTGCGCGCTCCGTGCCTTTAAGGGCACTATATATTGTAAGATTCTTGTTCTTTTTAAAGTTAAATAAAATAACCGTTTTTGTCAGGATTTACTGTCTGTCTTTTATTTATTGTCTATGATTTAATACACGTTTTAATAAATATCGCCTTTAACGCTATCTCGATGTTATTCCCTACAATCACTGCCTTTAACTAATTTATCTATTTTCACTGAGTACCACGTAATACTACGATTTAATAGATATCGTTGGAGACGATATCTCGACTATATTAAGTACAACTACTTTTCGACTATTCGACTGGATCTCTCGCGGATGACACGTCCGTCCCATTCGCCGACTAAGGAGAGAGTCACCCGTCGCTCGCTGCTCCGCGCATCGGAGCACGTTCGGTGA